GTACATTAATTTATGTTCATTTGTTTCATTTCTCCATCACAAAGTACCAACTTTCCTCATTTTAACAGATAATGTTTCAAAAAAAAATTTCGGGGGCACCCCCGTGAGCCCCCGCCCCTTCAACTCCGGGACCCCCCTAGTTTGAAAGGCTGGCTCCGCCCTTGCTCCCCGTCTACCCAATTAGGTGGGGTCTAGGGGAAAAAGTTTAAAGGATGGTATGCTAATGTTGCCTTTTTGTTATTTATCTACACTAGGTTGTGCTGCATTTGCCAGAATTTCATACAATTGAAATGATGTTGATAAGCTTCTTATATTAATTTACTGCAGTGGTATTATGTTATACTTCACTTATAACATATTCTTTCACATTATTCAACTACTACTTAATGCCACACGTAACCAGCTTCTTAAAATTTTTCATATACTGAGTTTTATTTATTATCAATAGGCTGAGAATCTACAAAAGCTATACCAAACAAGAAAAGAGAAAATTAAAGAAAATCGACAAAAGACTGAGGAAGCTTGGTCACTTGCGAAAGAGGAAGCTGCCAAGAGTAAAGCAGCCAAGGAAGTCATACAAGCTTTGACATCAAGGGTATTTGTTTCATTCAGTGAATTACTATAATGCATACACACACACACACAGGGTAAGATTGACTTTAGAATGCAATAGTTCGTTGAAGAAATTGTAAGCTAATTTTTGGTCATCAAACTGTACTTCTCTGCCACTCCATTTCTTCTATTGTCATAGTGAAGAGCTAAATGAGAACTGGCTAATGTACAGAACAGAGACTTAAGATTGTGTGTTTTCTACAATGATCAAGCATGCTTAAATAACTTTGTCCGCAACATGTACCAATATCAGAAAATTACACAATGACATATGATGGTTACTATTAACAATTGTTACCATGCAGAGAAAGAAGAGCCTACCATGTATATATATTATTATTATTATTTTTTTTTTTAAATTTCATTGGTTTTTGGTAGTTCGTTCCAAAATTGTTACCACGCAGAGAAAGAAGAGCCTACCATATTTTTTTTTTTTTTGAAAGTTAATTGGTTTTTGGTAGTTCGTTCCAAATGATAAATACTTCTTTCTTTTATTTTCTTCTGATTGTAATTAGATTGGCGTAGGAGCACATAATCCAGTTTTCTTTTCCTATAATCTCCGTTCTGCTAGAAATATCACAAGATTTAATTACAAATTGACTTTTTCAACCCATTTCATTAACCCATTTTTGTGTTATATTGAAGCAATATTTTTCTTCCCAAAACAATTCTAGTAAATAATTATCAATCTGATCAAGTGATTCTGAATGAGTTCACAAAACCTTGACTGTTTAAGTTTCTTCATGTTGTGGTTTCTGCTTCTAGGTACTGGCATAATTGTTGGTCACATATTGAACAATAGTGGTATTCTAGTTAAGTTTCTTCATGTTGTTCAGATAAGAGAGTTGAAGGTATCAAGTTTGTACCGATGTTCTCTTTGTTGATATTTAGGAGCAACTCTCTCTATAATGGACCTGATATCTGTTTCATTTTGCTCCTTTCTAACTTTTTTACGTGTATGTTGTGTAGATTATAACAGAGAAATTTTCTGGCATTTTAGCATTGTTATTTATCTATTCAAAAACAACAAGGAAAGCATTATTTAAAAATTGATAGATCATGTGAAATGCGTATGTTGCTACTGTCTTTTAAGTGATCTGTGATATATGTACAATCTTCCAGATTCGTGCAATGTCAGAGAAGTTTTCTGCTGAAAGAGTCGAAGAAGAACAACCTATTTCTGCTTTTGCTTATGTGCCCCATGAGGTTGAACATCCAGAAGATAAATATTTCGAAAGTCTTTCTAGTTCACCTATTGTCTTTTCGAACAAGTTAAGATCTTTGCGCAATGGAGATTCCCATGATGGAATTCTGTCAGTAAAAGAACCTTGTGCTGGAAGAGTAGATTCTGGAAAAACTGGAGTTGAACCCCTGAAGGTTGAATGGGTAGAACAGTATCAACCCGGTGTCTACATCACTTTTGTAACTTTGCCAAATGGACAAACAGGCCTCAAACGAGTCAGGTTCAGGTAAACTCTTGGTCCTTTAATAATTTTACATTCCACTGCATTTCATTATTTCATGAATGTTGTTAAAAGAAATTAACGTGATGAGCAACTAGAGGAATATAATCTCTTGTACGATTAATGACATATTGATTAGTAAAAGTGAAATATATAATAGAGTGACTTCATATAAGAATGTGGTTTATTTTTACATTTCGAGGGTCATGCATTCCTGTTGATAATTTCGTAGTTGAAATCATTAAGATGTTAAATAATGTTGACTTCGTAACTGGTTAAACTTGTCCGTTTTGATTGGCAAACTAAGTGGTAGACATACTGCATTTCCAATATGCCAAATAGGGCACCTTGGCTTTGCAAAATCCTCAAGGATAATTGAGTTGAAACTGCCCCCAGTCTAATAGAAAATCTTGGCACAATTTGATATGAAAATGGAATTTCATTTTCCCTGAAATCTTTATCAAGGAAAATATACTTCCACCTGTAACTAGGGTTAAAAATTTCAGAAACGAGTCTCTGTTCACTGCTAAAAGATCAACTATTTACATTCTTAAAATGATATTACGAATACTCTGATTATGGCCTATGAATTTTTGTAAATGCCATACCGGATTTTTCCACTTTTTTTCATAAAGGAGACTAATGTGGTATTATTATATGGCATGACAGCAAATATTTTTTTTTGGGTGTGTTTCTATTCCACAATTTTAGTGCAAACTCATTATGCATTCTGCAATACTAGTTTTTTCATCGATCTAAAGGCCATGGAATTATATAGCCCTTGTTTGACATCCATTTTTATCTCTTTCTCATTCTCTTTCTTGTTTTTTTTTTCTTTTTTCATTTCAACCACACATTCTATCAATAAAATAATATTACACATAAATCCAAATATTCTCCTTACTTTTTAACCACACATTCTTCCATCAATCACTATTCTAAATCAAATTCTTCTCCAAAATGGGTGTCAAACACAACAATAGTATAAGGAGCAGCGGCAGTATGTGATGTGGAAAAAAAAAGGACCTGCCAACTTAGAAATGTTTTAAATCTCAAGAAGATCACTAATGTGTTGAGCAAAAATTAATTTAGGGTTTATGAAGTCTCTGACCAATTTTTAAGTGTTTCTTTACGTATCTGACTCCAATTTTATTGCACAAAAGTATTAGTTTGTTGTTATCATCATCGTACATTGTAATTAACCTAGAGTCTTTGATGCATTCATGCAACCTGTTATACCTTGGGCATAGATTGTCTCGGAGTGAAGTTTTATTGTACTTTGTGCTTAGAATTAGAAATCCTAATTCTTTATTCCACCAAGAGCAAGCATAAAGAAATAAAGACACGTAAGATTTATAAATGTTCGCTTCAATGTGATAATAGTCCTCTTCAGCCCCTATAGTAATTCACAATGATGAAAAGAAGTTTACAAGAGAAAAGCGCACACAATATCTTCTTTAACTTCTCACTCACTGCGGAGGTCGATTTGCGTACTTGCTTTGCATAGCGGCAATAATTAGGCTCCATAACTTAACACTTCGCCACCCAGATTGTCATGGTTTACCGCAGCTCTATTGGTTGCCAATTTTCCATGAAGATGTTTCAAGACTAGAAACAAAAGGCTGTGGTCTCTTACTTATCCCGTTTCAGTTGAATATAACTTTCTTTTATTCAGAACCTGGATATGTCACCCAAAACATCCTGATTGTGGTAGCATTCTTTTTATAGTTGATTTCAAATAAAAAATTAACTAGAGGGTTTCGAATGGGAGATTTTTCATTTGGAAGTCTTGCCAAGCTATTTAGCTTAACAAACAATAAGGTGCAAAGTTTAAGTCTTAACCATTCCCCAACTACCTTTAATTCTGTTAAAGTCCCCCTGATGTAGGTTTATTATACTTAACAATCAACTATACATATTTAATTCTATTTTCGAGTCCCTCTAAGAAGTCATGTACTTGCAGTCTTTAGTTTCTCTTCGAGATCACAATGTAGGTTATTCCATGATCCACATAAAACTTCCTTGTATATTTTATCTTCTTTTATTTAATGCTCCCTGTCATTTATTATGTATTTGCAGCCGGAAAAAGTTCTCTGACAATGAAGCGAAGAGATGGTGGGATGAAAACCAGCAAATAGTATGTCGAAATTACAGTATTGATGGTTATTGAAATTCCATGAAAAACTAATAAAGTGCTAAATTTTTGTTCTCTCACTCTTCACACCCATGTTTTGGTGATGCACTGAAAGTACAATGGTTTCACTTGTCATTCCACGATTCAATATGGTTGAAATCGAATGCCACGAGGCAAAAATCATTCTGCCTTGGCTTTAGATTGTGCACTTTCTTGAAAGGCAAATTGCAAACGTGTTCATAAGTTATGTCGGAATGTAAATTTCCTTTGTGTCCATAGTGTGTATTGGACGAAATGCTAGAAACTTGAGTAAATCCAATCTATAGTTTTAGCACGAGACTGCATGTCTTCTTTAGAATAATAGCTTATTTGAGTATGTGAGTTCTATGAATTGTATAGAGGGTCATGAAGGGACAGTGTTGTCTTCCATTTACAAAATTTTTCAGCAATTAGAGCATTGTAATTGCAGAAAAATTGCATTGTCATCATAGTTGAGTATTATTGACATATTTTGAAGATCTTACTTTTGGACATGAATTGCATTACCATTTTTTCCATGGAAAATATTTTCCAATCTTTGAAAATATGCACAGTTTTCCTTGTTTTTGTTTTCCTCAAAAACAAGGAAAACATTTTCTATTTTGGGAGACATTTTCAATGCCAATCAAACAGAGATCTTGAAATTCAAAAGACCGTTATCCTATGAATTCTGTTAGTTATTCATAAATGATGTTAAGTTTTTGTTATCCTATGAAATCTATTAGGAAGTGTTTGCTTTCAAGCATGAAACTTGCATGGAAAAAAGAGAGTAAATTCTAAGCAATTGAATTGTCTAGAACTTATTTGCATGAAAATTATTAATTAAATGTTTTTGATTAATTTAACTTGTAACTTAGAACATGTTATTCTTATTCATCTTATGACAGAGATAAATGAATTGCCTGAAAAATAAAAACCTATCCCTCATTAAAGAAAATATGGTCATGTAACCAACTTTTTAATCATATTTTCCAGGAAAAAAAAAATCAATCAAACACTCCAAAGTGGGAACTTTGGAGGAAAAAAAATGACTTTTTCATATAAAATAAAGTTAATTAAATACTTTAGTTATACAAAAATGATGTTTTGTCCTTCATTACTGTATTGGACTATATAAAGAATTTAACGTAAAATTAGAATATATGATAGCAGTATTCTAAAAAGCATGTATAAACTCGAAACTTGGCATTGCAGTCTAACAAGCCTCTTAGCTTTTGAGTGAATTAGGCTCGTAAAAGCTTAAAACTTATTATTGCTGCTTAGTTACGCTCTATATTTTTTAGAATACTAGATAATAGTAGATGGACAATATTATGGTGGGATAAGGTTGATAATATTTTTATTTTAGTAAAAAAAAAGAAGAAAAATTGGTGCAATTGATCTCAAACCTTTATCCATCTTGTGTTTTTTGTTCACATCTTTAAATCTTGGCACAAATTGTCCTAAACCTTTACATTCTCGGGCATAAGTGACCCTTTTGAATGGAGGAGTCTCTGTAGAATTATGATAGAAATGTATCCATTTTGCTATTTATACATTCTTACCTTCACATCATTGTTGATATTGCCTTCATTTAAATTGATGAACATTGTTGAATGGATTGTGTCCAGATTGGCCATTTTAGTCAAGATTACGAGGGGTTGGGACAATTTGATCTAAGAACTATAAGATGTTAACAAAAAATGCGAGGGACAAATGTTTGACACCATTTTTGCCAATTACCTCTAATTGGGTTGTGCTAGATGTACACCCAATCCATTACTTAATGGATTACGCCCCCTCGCACGAAGGAGGATCCACGAATATTTTATTGTGTGTGGGCCCCTCTCCATGTGAGGGGGGTGTAATCCATTATGTAATGAATTATGTACATTTAGACTAATCCACCTCTAATTATGTCATTTGCACCCGCATAAATGATAGAGAAATGGGCTCAAATAGTTGATAACCTATGGGTAGCTATGTCACTCAACGAGCCGAGCCGAGCAGGGCAAAGTCCGGCCAAAAAAATGAGGCTCGGTCCGAACTTTCAACCCGAGCTTGAGCGGGCCGAGTCGGCTAGGGTTTTTTGAATTTTTATTTTTTTTTTAAATTGAAGGCTGCAAGGCAGCTCTTTAAAAAAAAAATAATTAATTTTAAATTAAATTTTTTTAATAATGGGCAGGGGCTCGAGTTGACGCCCCGAATTGGGCTCCGCCCGAGCCTCGGCTTAGTTACACCGAGCCCGAGCCGGGCCTGATCGGCTAGGACTTTTTTCGGGTCAAGTCCGAGCCGACGAGCTTTTTTGCTATCCCTACTTATGGGGTGTTATATGAATGGTTCATAACCTTTAAATCTTGACACAAATACCTCTAAAATTTTACTTAATGAATCGTAGTGATGGTAATGAGTTGAGCCGAGTCGGCTCAGTCCATGTACTCACGAGCTCAGCCCACGTGCTCGTGAGCTCAAAAGTCTAGTCGAGTCGAGCCGAGCTGAGCCCATGAGCTAGATTTTTTTTAAAAGAAACTTTTTAATTTATTTTAAACTACCAAACGACGTTTGGTCACTTTTTTAAAAGTCTAATGTTTTTGCAAACATTCAGATCGAATCAAACGGGATCGAAACAAGAAAATCAGTCGGATCAATCGATCAACTAGACCGGTCAATCGAAAGGCTCATTTTGTTGATCGAAATTCCAGTAGTCCAAAAATTTGATCGTTTTGACTTTTGATCTTTTTGTCCAATGGCTATATTTTGGGTTATCAAAACTTGTACCAGTCGACTGGACCATCATCTAAACTTACTGAAAGTTATGCAATCTTTTCACAACCAATGCAAGGTTTTTCAAGTGTATTAAAGAGAGAAATATTTTGAGAAAATCTTTGAACTTACATTGTATTTATTTCTTCTATTTCTTCATATCAAAAATTTTAATTGATTGAATCAAACTTTTAAATCATTATATTCATCGAAACTTCTCATCTAACACTTGAGCTATTATCTGACACTCGGTGCCTCTTATTTGTAAGTCACCGAAAGCGTTTTAGGGTTTTGATAACACATAAGTCAATCAATATAATGAAAATGCATTACTTATGACAAAGAACTTGATAACAGAGAACGTAAATAATTGGTTTGGATGGAACTTCCATAAATATATCATTTGCATCATTTCTACCATCTTACTTATTTTTGCTTATGATTATTACTGGATTGATCAACGTTTTTTTAATTTACTTAATTTGAAATTATTTTTCGAAAAATTTTCAAAAACTAATTCACCATTCTCTTGATTAGTTTTTCTTGAATTATCAACGTGAGTCTAAAATTTCTTAGTGACACCTGTTCCAGTAACTCTCACGTTAAGAGGGAATCACATTAAATTGCGTGTTATTCTTACTTTCATTTTCCTTTTTTTTTTTTTTTTTTTTTGAATAAGTGCTCTTAGTAATACGAATTATTCGTTTAAAAGTTAAAACATAACAATAGGAACTCAATCAAGAGATGTTGTAGTGAAAAAAACAGATATTTTCTAGAATCTCATCTAGATTTAGAAGCTCTAATAGACATGCTAACTCACCAAAATATTTCATATGCAAATTTAAATTTGATTTTATTATTTAAAAAAAATAAGAAAATCGTTTGGAACTTGAGCGTCACTCACTAGACATCATATCATGTAAACTGAAAGTCTTTCGAATATATCTCTCTCTCTCTTTTTTTTTTTTTTATCTCAACTACATCATATTGAAGGAGTTTTTATCAACTTGCATTATAGATCTTTTTAATACTTCTATTTTGTTTATATGACATAATTTTTCAAATAATTTACGAATGCATTGTAGATGCTTTTATGAGAGTTTGATTGGTAGGATGCGTTGTTGTTTTTTATTTTTATTTTATTTTAACTAAAAGTAAGGATATTTTAGTCCTTTTTTAATCAAAAATTGACATTTTTAAATTTCAACTGGATAGAAACCATTCAAAATGATTGAGTCCGCCACTGAGTGGAAGGTTATATAAGTTTGCGTTAATATTGGAAGGTTAGGGACCGTTTACATAGCAACTTCATATTTAAGGGACCGCTCCAATTCTCCTTAGTGATTTTAGTAAGAATAATGATATTCATAATCAGGGATTAGAGTAATAATCTTATATGATAACTTGTTATTTGAGATATTAATTAGTTATTTGAGGCAACAATAAACCTGTTTTTACTCGAGGGCTGCATTCACTAGCTAATTAGTAAAATTTGTCAAGCCTGAATTCTGCTTTTACTTAAAAACTGCGGGTTTGACAGGTACCAAGCCCAGTCTAAATTTTGACAACATTGTTTATAAGTGTACCAAACACAATATGAGTGTTTGACCGAATGTTAGAATTTTAATTGAGAATTTTCTTCGACGATCTTCATTAATGTAGTGTATCTTACCACCTTATATAAATTCTTGCATAGTTCCCAATTCCATTGACTTGAACTTATTATAAGACATTCGGTGTACATATTATACATGAGCAAAATAGGGGTATTAAGTGGGATGAACGGTTTGTCGACTTGCGCAAAAAATGAATAGTGGATGCTAGTTTAACAACAAATTTCTCGTATGAGTCGATTCGTCAAATTTAAATGAAAATGTAATTTTAAGTAAAAAAAAAGACAAACCGCAAGTGGGTCGCGAGAGGGATAAGTTGGTGGACTAGAGCCAAGTCTATGGTGAGCCGAGTCAAGTCGATGGTGGATGAATCGAATGACCAGGGTCGACTCATTTAACACTCTCAGAGTGGGATGAGGAAGATAGTGAGGAAACATAAAGAGAGTGCTAGCCAGAGAAGTGTTGTCCCTTTTGAGTACAATAAGAGTGAGAATTAGCGTATACATTCATAAAGAAATTGTAAAAGGATTCCTTTCTAAATAAAATACTATTTTCTTTGGTATTTAAACTCTACATATTCTTTCTTCATTGAATCGGACGTCTTTGAATTACAACCTTACACATTACTTTTCAGCAGAAAGT